ACTTCCTCTGTGAGTTTTGTAAGCCAAGATACAGATCTAGGCAAAACTTCGGAAAGTTTTGGCTGTCAGATAAGATCAGTTTGCTTTATGCCACATTTTCTGACCACTGAAAGGAAACAGGCACACAGTGGTTATAAAGTAGCCTGCAAGAGGAGTTGCCTTTTCCGGCTTTTATTTCACCTGCCACGAAAAGCGATCTTTTAGCAGTGTGTGAAACAAAAACCAGAAAAGGCCTCTGTTCTCACAGGTTATTACAAAATTATTAAAATAACAGAAATGAAGCTGAATTCAATAATCTCCCAAAAATAACCTCTTGTAGGAATAAAAATATGGCTGATAAAGTCTGTCATTTCTTCTCAATAACATTGTACATTTTGTTATGCAATGTTTTTCCACTGATAACTTTTTGTATCCAGCAAAGGTATGCCATTGTCCAGAGAGCTGATTTGTCATATGCATTTGTTTCACAAAATTATGGTCAGANGTTAGACATTTGGAAACCCGGGGGGAACTCCCTCATGAAAAGGCAAGGGATGCTCGTTGGAAAATTTAAATAAACTCGTAAGGGAGACTAATGTGGATGTTGCTTGAGCTTCATTACACCCCTAAAAGATACCACTTAAAACGGAATAGGTTTGATCACTAACCACTGTCCAAGAAAGGATCCCGTGCACACTTGTAGACCCGACTCGCATACTCGAGAGATTAGCAGAAATCAAGCCTGAAAATTTAAATTAAATGAGAGTGTTTCTATGAGAGCGTTTCTATGAGAGCATTTCTATGTTTCCTCAAGTGCACCCTAAAGGATACTTTGACAGCTAAAAATGGTGATGTTTCATCATCAACACCTTAAGTGAGATCAGAATCCTTGATTTGTACCTGGGACGACGAGCATCCCCAACCTTTTCATATAGGAATCCCCATTGTACATTTTGTTATGCAATGTTTTTCCACTGATAACTTTTTGTATCCAGCAAAGGTATGCCATTGTCCAGAGAGCTGATTTGTCATATGCATTTGTTTCACAAAATTATGGTCAGATATTTTAATAATCATTGTTAGTACTTTCCCATCATTGATTAATTATTTATTATTGTAATTTTTCCGAAGTACAGATTACGAGCAGGGACTGATTTATGCTCAAATGCTTTTTAGTTAGCTGTTCAGGGCATCTTCAAAAAGGCTGTCCAATTTACGAATGGTTTCAGTTCTTTATCCTCTTCACTTTTGTTTGGTTCTTCTTAGACTTAGATGGTGCTTTTTCGCAAGGCAACTTTGAATTGTTCAAAAAGTCTTGAAGTTGTTCCACAGAAACCATGTCATCGTTCGCACATTCCTCCACTTCGTTTACTGCAGTTTTCTCTAGAGAGACTGGAGTGATCATTTCTACTTCCACTCTCCTTTCCTCAGTCTGAGTTTCCACTGTCAATGTATTTTTTTAAGCATAGTTCTTCTTCAAAGAAGCTAACTTGACAGCCAACATCCTTTTTACTTAGTGAGGCTGGCGACCATCGATTACTGACAGCTTCCAAAGCTCGCTTCTCTCCCTTCCTCACTTTTCTTCCAAACATGAATCAACCCTTTTTTTTTTATGTTTTGTATTTTAATTTTTTTTTGATTTGGTTTTGTACTTTTAAAGTTTTGAAATGACTATAATTGAAACAATAATTTAGGAGATTGTTATCAAATTTTCCAGGTCGAGAGTGGGTTTTCTGGTCAACTTATAATATGATTACGTCAGTCACCGGAAGTCACATTTCACTTCCTTAGCAATGCACGAAAAATCCGGCTTCAGGCTTTCAGCTGTACGTTGGTGTTGAAAGGAGTGTTGTGCAATAATCCCAAACAACAGTTGTAAAGTACATTGCAGGACTTCAATTGAATATTAGCTAACATTTCACTGGTGTTTTATAGCTGAGATTGGTGATCATGATGCTGAGAGGTTTACAAGCTTTGTAGAAAACAAGACTCTTTTCCCTTCTGTAAGTATATCTACTCTTAGTTGTTAATGATGGCCTGTTGGGTGAACTGAATTAATTTCACCTTAACTACCGGTAAACTGTCTAACAATTCAGAAGTGTTAATTTTCTTCTTTGGATGCATACTTGCCATTCCATTATAATGATTAAGAATGATTAATCTTGTTTCTTACTAAGAGTGTGTCCGTGAGAAAACCAGGCAGGAGGTGATACAGCTCAAATCACCGATTTTGCTCAAACTTGACACAAAGTTTGGGTTTGGTGAGTAAATGATTACGGCAAAAAATTAGGTCAAAATATTTGATTCCCTTCAAGTTCGGGGCACCCCTCCAAAAATGGCTGTTTGTCATTAACTTTGGTTAGTATTTCTACAGCAAGAAAGGCCATGTGAAAGTAAAATCCACTGGATCATGTTTCACTATTATCATTCTCAAAGCACAGATATTCATTTGAACTAGACAATTTGATTTCTCTCCGTGGCTCCATGTTAAGTAATTTTGAGAAAATAAAGACAACTAAAGACACTTAGTTAGAAGGCAGTCTTTTAGTACAGAAAGTACGGGTACTAAGGGAAAAAGCAAGAATGTCGCTCCTAAAGTGGGCAGCATATGATGAAAGTGGGATGGCGATTGATATTCTCTTTAGAACTCAGGTTGAAGCAACGGAACAGATGTCCCAAAACTTAACATTTCACAACACAAGAATCAAAGAGGGTGCAAAATCGTGTCTAAGTGACATGTATGTAGTAGTTATTTCTTGTTTCTGTTCTACATTGTATTTTACACCTGAAAACATAAGTTGAGGGAACTATGTGTTGAATCTTCTTCTGCCGCATTTTTTCAATATCGTGAGAATTTGTGGTTCCAGAAAATATCCATACCCACCCCATAGAGGGTCTGTGAAATTCCGAGGGTTATAGGGATCTGAAAGAGGTAAATTTCCAAAGGGGAGGAGTTTTCTTTCCAGTAGGTTTCAAATGGGATGGAATGAACACTAATTTATTTTCCCAATCGATTCAGGTAACCAAACCAACAGAAATGTTTTCATGTTGAAATAAACGTAAGATTCTTTGTCATATATTTACCATTTTTGTTCCAATGTCAATGACGCAAATAGGACTTCTGAGCAGCATGTTTGTTGGATGTCAGGTCAAACAAAATGCCAAAAAAAAAGGGGCAGCAATACCTGTACGATGAAGTTGATGATATGTTGTACATTTATACTTTGAAGATTGCGCTGTATGAAATGCAGCTGATGCTTTTCCCAGCATTATTCATGCAGTCAAATGAGATTCGTGCTCTGTATATCTCATTTGATACTCATACAAAATTATTCCCATTTCGGACTTGCTGTAACTAGGTTATCACATATTTTAATTGTTATCTGTATCCGTATCACCTCCTACCTGGTTCTGTCTGGTTTTATCATGGACACACTCTTAACCAATCTATATCATCACATGATATCAGAACATTTGAAAATCCATCAAAGGACAGTGATTGACACCTTTATTTAATTTATATCAGGGTGGCCTTTTCATCAACAGAGGCTGTATAATTATAGAGAAAAGCTGTGTAAAGAACTAAAACTATACCATAAATAGTTACAGATAAAAAGCCCTAAAAACTACATACTCTGTGGGATTGGTTACTGGCTCCACATGTGCACCTATACCAATTTGAATACATGTAGCAATCAATGCTATCTGTTCCAGACTTTCATTAAATGTATGCTCTATTTTCACATCGTAATAAATAATCAGTTTCATTATTGAAAGTGATTACCAGAATGATTTGATTTAGTGCCCAGGTCACTTATTTACTTGGTACCTCAAGGGAGGGTGCTTATTCAAGACATGGCGCTTATTTCTTTTTTGAGAAACAAGTAAATGTTCAAAACAGAATTTTAATACAGTATTTTTAGGGCAAAGTCCGTAGGATGGAGAACTATTGGTGTTAGAACATTGGGAAAGGTACTTCGAGTAAGTGAAATGCTAGTTCCTGATCGAAAACGTGGCCTTCAAATGTCAATAATTTTGTCAGTTGGACACAATATGACGACATATGAAACAACCATAACTGAAGTCTGTTAAAGTTTTCATTGTTAACTCTGTTAACTTTGCATAGGGGTAGCTCAGGGCACATATGAATTCCCTTGCAGGGTAGGTGAAGTAAGTGGCTCTTTGAAAATACTAAGAAATTGCCTCTTTCCCACTCCCCAGAGATTGTTTTGGTACCTATTGCGTTTTGGTCCTTTGCATATTTTAGGGGGTAGGGGAGAGTTTTCTTTTTTTGAAAACAAACATGGCGTTGTGTGTTGTGGTTTTCTGCTAGTGGGCAAAATTCTGTGCTTAAAACCAAAACAAACCTTTAAAAAGTTCACAATGGCAAGGGATAAGCTTCAAGAAGACTCAAGCGATGGTTAAAAGGGTGATTATGACGTAGAAGTAACGATATTGTCCTTCGGGTTGCAAGAATGTCTAAATCAAAGGTCTTCCTGAATTCATTTAAACCAAAACTACACTATGAAACTCTTTGGACAAGTTTAAAGTGGAAGTTCAACCGAATTTATCTCTTATTAAATTACCATTCTCTTCTAGAAGAGTTGTTTTGGTGATATTTATATGACCTTTTCAGCTGACTTTTGCGTTCTCAACAAATGGACAACAATGCACATCATTTGGATAGCACAAAAAACTTTTGGAGAACACTTAAATCCAAGTCATTAATTTTCTTGAACACAATCTTTATGGCAGTCACCTATTTTTAATCAAGTGAAGCTTGCTGACTTTGCACTTTCTGTTGGGAACCACTTGTTTAAATAAAGGAACAATAACAGGAACTGTAATGTTAACAAACATACAGTGAATGTTCAATTAACCTGAGGGAATTTTAACCTAATTCAACACCAGTAGCTTGGACAGTGTCACTTACAGTACATTGATATGTAAATAAAAACTTTCTCATGCATCATCTTTGACGGTTGATTTAGTGATCCTGTCAAAAGGATCCTTGTCACATGAATAAATTGCTTGTGGCTTGTTGAACAAGGTTAAGCCGTTCCAGCCCTGCTTGCATGGCAAGGCTGATTTTCCTTGAAGCAGTGAATATACATGTATTATAATAGGTGTGCTTATTAGAATGAGGGCACTTATTTGAATATGGGCGCTTATTAATAAAAACACATTCAAAGGGAGACCCTTATTCAAGGGTGGCAAAGGGGGTACTGATCATGCATCATGCTGAATTTTTCAATTAAGTCATGCATCATGGAGAATTTTTTCACCAATCATGTGTCACATAAAAAGGAGTAAGTACATCGGCAATTTTACTTTCTAGACCCTAAAAGCGTGGTTAAAAGCTGAGGAGAACTCAGCCAATTCGACCACAGAAATGCAATGGCAAATATTCCAAACATTTCCTCCTGAAAATGACAAATTTTGACCAAAATAAAAGTGGAGATCCTTACGGGAAACCGGGAGATTCGGTCTGTATCCAGGAGACTCCTAGATAATAGGCGTGTCCTGATTGTGTTCGTAAAATGCTGGTAAGTTGCTCACTGGAATGCCAAAAAGTTGCTCAAAAAATTGCCAAAATCCAAGAAGTTGCTACCTAAATTTCTTGATGTTTTTGTACAGACGTTAATTAAAAGCTTTATTTTTCATTCTTCACAATAATTGCTAACGTCAGTCCCAATCATGCGTCACACTGCTAAGTTTGGGGTGATCACACATCACACAAAAACCCACTTACTGGAAGGAGGGTGCTAAATCAAATCATTACTGTACAAAAACCTACAATGTACATGTAACTTGACATGTTTTAGGATGCCCCATTGGAACCTTAACCTCTACATGTACAAAGGCAAATGTAACTTACTCTTGATGCAATAGCTTTTTAACATTGTTCTGTTGCAGAATGTCACTACTATCCATTTCAAGGAGGTCCTTGAACAGCAGGTACAGAATTTTTAATTACTTAATTAAGAGCATGAGAATGATTGTGACAAAAAGCAGCATTAAGATTTTAATTTTTATGAGAAAAGTACTTTGCAGTTTATGTGTTATGGACACCTTAATTGTGGTTTTAAAACATCATCAACATCATCCCTCATCCCCTCAGAATTTCCTTTCCAGAGGGTTTATGGTGACCCTCCTCCCCTTTGTAATTTCGCTGTTTGTTTTTTTTAAACCTTCATTCCTGAACCCCTTGGAAGTTTCAAATTGTTTCGTACCTAGAAAATTGATAACTAACACTGTTATGACCATTAATTTTATAATAATTATTGCAACCACAGGATACAACAATCCCAGCATTCAATTGTCTCATTTTATTTAAGAAAAAGGGATAAGAAAAAGAGAAATGAAGAGCCTAATTAAAGATGTAAATCACTTTCTCATCCAAAATGAATCTTGATTTCTGCGCATGCCTGAGAAAAATGTTGTAAAATGCCACTCTAGCAGAAAGAAAGGCATGCTGTCCTGTTGCAAATGTCTTTTTGAGTAGATTGCAGCTAATTTGGTTCATATCCAGGCTGAAAATGTCCAAAATGTCTAAAAAATGTGATTTTGCCAAAAAGCTCCGCCAGTCAATGGGTTAATCACGTGACCAGATTTTTCGAAAGATGAATCCTTTTGTGATAAAATTTGGAAATCTATCCAAATCAGGCTCAAAAATGCCAGGAATGCTTCAAAATTTGGAATTTAGAGGTATTTTTGTTAACGCAAAGCTGCCTGTCCCGTCCTTAAGTGGCCATGATGGGCGTTGGCCTTTGTTCCACTTCTGATGTCTTTTGACCAAAGTTGGCATCACTTATGCTCGAGTTCTGCAGGAGATCTTTTCTACAACAGATCTTTTCAATGAAATCCCAATCAGAGTGATCGGGTCATGGAGCCTGAAATATGCACAAAAAAGTCTGAAATTTGGGTGAAAAACTCTTAGCAAGATTTCCCACAGCTACACATGGCTACTCCATGGTTAGAATTTCCTTTGTCAATGATTCTTTCTTGGGAATTCTTGAACTGGAAGTAAGCCCGGTAGAGGGTCTGTCACTGTAGCACAAAGACAAGAAAAGGAGAAAAGGAAAGGCAAAAAGAAAAAAAAACTAAAACAAAATGAAAAGTCTAAAGACATAAGTCAGTTCGTTGAAATTTTGATTTCTGTACATGTCGGAGCAAAAATGTTGTAAAACTCGACGTTAGTGGAAAGAAAGGCATGCTGTCCTGTTGTGAATGTCTTCTTCAGTAGATTGCTGCTAATTTGGCTCATATCCAGGCTGAAAATGTCCTGACAAATGTCCAATGTCCAAATGCGATTTTGGCCAAAAGCTCCAGGAGTCAAATATGGGTTAAGCAATCAAAATCCTAGACCACCAATCTTTCCTTTCTTGCTTGATTTTCTGGTCTAGAATCTTGACAACGTGGTCATATAAAACCTTATACTGGACTGTAATTCTTGTCTAAGTCATGTGGGGGGTCTCTGGTGATGTAATCTGTTTTTAGCAACTGTGGTAGTGGTAATGGCAGTGGCAATGACAATAGCATTCAGACAATTATAATGACAATGGCAATTAAAATGACAACGACAGTGGCAATGATGATGGAAATGACAATGGAAATGGCAATGACAATGACAATGGCAGTAGCAATGGCAGTGGCAATGGCAATTGCAATGACAATAGCATTGACAATGACAATAAGAATGGCAATAGCAATGACAATGGGGATGACAATTACAATGACAATGGCAATAACAATGGCAATGGTGATGACAATGATAATGGCAGTGGCAATGACAGTGGCAATGACAGTGGCAATGAGAAGGACAATGGCAATGACAATGGCAATGACAATAGCAATGACAATGGAAATGACAGTGGCAATGACAGTGGCAATGACAGTGGCAATGACAGTGGCAATGGCAGTGGCAATGACAATGGCAATGACAAGGACAATGGCAATGACAATGGCAATGACAATGGCAATGACAATGGAAATGACAATGGCAATGGCAATGGCATTGACAAAGGCAATAGTAATGGCAATGGCAATGACAATGATAATGGTAATGGCAGTGGCAAAGTCAAAAGTGAAATAATTGCTGTTGCTTCCAGAAATCAATTGAATACTTGTAAGAGGATGATGATGAATTGCAAGCAGCTGCCCCTGGTCTTAAGTATTCAGGGTTTTTTTTTATTAATCACTATTTAACATCATAGTACAAAAGATAGGCAGCTCTAGAATACTGGAGATCATCTACATGTCTATGTATAGAGCTTGTCTTATTTTGTGGTCTCATACACTGTACATGAACAGAAATTAAAGAAGATAATGCAGAGAATAACTTTTTGGCATCTACATCATTCTATAATTATCGTGAGTGGTGTTATTGCCATTTGTTGGCCAGATGATCATTTATGTCTTTACATTGTTCTCCACAGTTCAAATAATTTTATATGAATTACTCAAGGGACTAAGAAACTGTGAGCATTATAATTCACCATAGACAAAACCATGTTATCCTGAATTTGTGGGAAAGCAACTCAAATAGTTATTATAAATACCATGGTTTGGTGATGAACTATTTTCCTTCAAATTTGGTTCAAATGTACAAATTGTTACTTGTAGGATCTAGTTTGTTTGTATTGCAGACCATTTATTGTTTTTCCCATAATTGTTTTGTGGTAGTTTCCTTGTCATGTGCTCAGACTGGAAATTCACATACAGAGGTTGTTTTTTTAGTGTGAATTATAATAGTTTCAGCTGGTTTATTTCTTACATGTGGGGAATCTTTCTTACATGTACATGTGGCGTTTTGTGTGTGAAACTCATCAGTTGGAAATAAATGGATAAATCATCTCAGCAAGCTAATTGGAGCTTACATAGTGCTTTCCTTATTTGCATAATACAAAAATGTCAATATCTCTAAAATGAAAAAAGATATTCCTAAAAGGAACATGTCATTCTTCTGTCTTTTCAAAAGCCTTTCAAATAAGTAACAATTATTTTTCATTTCATGGGCACTATAATAAGCAATCCTGATCCTAGTGGTGGAACCTTGCATGACTCAATAGACAGTGAACTGGGTTTATGTTTCCAGACCTCTTCGAGTAGAGAGGAGGGTTCAGGTCTGCAAAATGAACTTTCCCTTTTTGAGCCAGAATGTTCCAAGTGATTACATGATCTTGAGCAGCAAGAACTAGCCAAAAGAGCAGCTCTGGATAAGTGTATGAAGGAAGCTAGAGAAAGACTGGAAATTGAAATGAATTGTGCCATCGAAGAATACGAAATTATGAGCAAAAAGGAAGAAACAAAATGCCAACAGGAAGAATTAAGACAACTTGATGAAACCTTTGGGAGAAGTAAAAAAAGTGAGTACAGAATCTACATCCTCAGGGCCTCCCTACTCTATGGATGCAGCAGTGAGAGGCCATTTTACACCCCAGTAAGAATATGTGGAACTGAAACAAAGAGAATCAAGAACACAAGAGGCTGCTTTGTCCATCATAGACTGAAACGAGGAAAGTGGCCAGCCAGTGGTACCAAGCAGTATTCAGCAATTGTAGAGACAGCAAAACACTATGGATGAAGTTGAGCAGGGTCTTTGTATGTCTCAAAGAGAATACTTGAGCTTCAGTGGTGAACACCATAACTTCCCTTTGTTTATGCAGAACTTTGAGGTAAATGTAGAGAGTAAGGAGCATTATGATGCAGATCACCTAAGTTACATTCAGTACTGCAGAGGTAAAGCACAAGAAGCTACTGAACATTGTATTATGATGCCCCCCGAGGAAGGTTACAAGCAGGCAAAAGAAATCTTGCATAAGAACTTTGGCCAAACATACATAGTCACTAGAGTATTCATAGAAAGGGTGATTGGTTGACCTCCAATCCAAAGTCCTGATCCAGAATCTTTGTCCCAGCTAGCTCATGATATGGAAATGTATTTTCTCAGGTCTACCCAGTTAGGTCATACTAGTAACTTAAACTCAGTGGACACCCTTGGAAAAATTGTTGCCTGACTTCCAATTCACCTTAGAGGGAAATGGGCAGAGAAGTCCAATCAGCTGTATGAATCCTTTTCATTCCAACATGTTCCCAACTTACAGAGTTTGTACAAAGTCGTGCTGCTGTAGCCAATACCTACTTTGGTCAAGTTGTCAATTCAAAGTCAGAATCATCAGGAAAGCCCAAACTGCCATGCAAGGTTAGGGGTGGACCTGCAATAATAGCATGACCTTGGCTACGGTCTCAGATGACCATTTACCAGACAGTGATGAGAGGAGAACCTTGAAATGTGTCCTTTGTTCAAGTAGCCATTAACTTGAGCATTGCTATAAGTTCTAGAATTGACATGCCCTCAGCGACAAGACCTCGTGGATGGGAAAAGGGTGCGCAGTTGATGTCTCAGTCTAGGGAACTTTGTAAGGAAATGTTGGGTTGCAAGGGGGTGTGGGGTTGATAGTTGCCAAAGGAAACATCATCATTTGTTACATTCATCTGATCCAGTTCAAGACAAAGCGAACAGTTCATGATCTAACTCAAAGACTGTTTCCCAGGTCCAAACCCCTACTTCTAGAGACACTTCTTACAATAATGCTACCAGTGTTAGTGCAATGAGTAATGTACAATGGGCAACAAAAGTGTTGAGACACTTGGCAGCAAAACTCAATTTTCAAGTGTCTTGGAAACATTTCTCCCCCTTCCCCCCAAACAATGTTGATTTTTCTATTGATTTAGACTGCACAGACCACAGCATCTACACAACATTGAATTGGGGGGCCTGGGGCATCAGAGAATTAACTTGAGATGCAAATAAGATAAAATGAGAGGTTAAATATTGAAAAGCGCCATTTTCTAAAAGTGTCTCAACTACTTTTGTCGCCCATTGTCTGGACTCTATTTGTGTAAACTGTGGTGATTTCCATTAGATTCCCAAGCTCTAACAAGTACATTTTTAC